GTCCAGAGGAGGGCACGGAGATGATCCGAGGGCTGGAGCACCTCTGCTGTGAGGACAGGCTGAGAGAGTTGGGGGTGTTCAGCCTGGAGAAGAGAAGGCTCCGGGCAGAGCTCAGAGCAGCCTTCCCGTACCTAAAGGGGCCGACAAGAAAGGTGGGGAGGGACTTTTGACAAGGGCAGGGAGTGAGAGGACAAGGGGTGATGGCTTTAAACTGGAAGAGGGGAGATTGAGACTACAGATAATGAAGGAATTGTTTAGGATGCGAGTGGTGAGGCCCTGGCAGAGGTTGCCCAGAGAGGTGGTCGATGCCCCATCCCCGGAAACATCCAAGGCCAGGTTGGATGGGGCTGTGAGCAACCTGGTCTGGTGGGAGGGGTCCCTCCTCATGGCAGGGGGTTGGAGTCGATGGCCTTTAACGGTCCCTTCCCGCCCAAACCATTCCGTGATTCTTCTTGCTCCAGAGGGACTGTTAAGACGAGATGGCTCTGTTTTTATCATAACATTGCATTTGCACTTGCCTGCTTCTTCAGCACCCACATTTTGAGTTCATGTTTCCCTAGCTAAGAGAAACGAAGAGGGTGCAGCTCTAAAGAGCAAGCCGTGGACAGCTGCAAACGCCGTCTGCTGTACAGGACAGGCAGCCCGTGGGTCACCTGTGGACCCTCTCCGGGTGCCCGATCCCGATCATGTGCTCTCCTCGGAGCCATGCTCGGGTCTCCCTCTGCTCTGGCCGCCCCTCGCTGCCGTGCCTGAGCTTGCTGCCCCCGCAGCCCCTTCCCAAGGCACCCCCAGCACACCAGGTAAAAATACTTCTTAAGGTTAGTTTGGAGAAGAGCCAGTTCCTGGAGAGCAGGGGAACAACTCGATCCTTGAACCATCGTAGCTTCAGTACGCTACCAAGAGACCCTGCAGGTATTTGAAATCATGCGTCGAGATCACAGATAAGGGAGATCTCAATCAGTGCTGGTATGAAACCTTGCAAGGAGAGCAGCTCAGCAGCTTTTAAAAAGAGCAGAGGGGGAGAATTAGAGATTGTAATCTTCACCCTCAGAAGGATTTCATTTCCATTTTAATAAGCGAGTCCTTGGCCGTCAGTGCTACGTTCCCTTGCCTCCGGCTACACAGAACACAGCGGCCTGAATTGAGCTGCTGGCTGATCACCCTCCCTTTGTGAGACCTCACGAGTTTGTCCCTATTACTATGAGCTGTCG